CCCAGTTTCATCCAGAGCTACTGCCCGTGCAGTTTGCAAAAGAACACTATTTCGCTTTCTTCGATTCTCGTAACTCGTTGCAGTTGTAACCTTGGTTTTCACGTCGTCGTCTTGTTTCGATTTCTCTTTAGTTTCGTCGAATCCCTTTGCATGCACTGTGTCACATATCGACTGGTGATGACGTTTACCACAGTGTCTACAATTTTTTTGACTTGAGCATTCCTTCACTTGATGACCCTTTCGAAGGCAATTGTAACATCGTCTGTCCTTTGCAAGAATTTGCTTTCCACTTTCGTAGGATTGTACAACATCACAGGAAGCAGAATAATGTAGATTATTGCAGAAAGCACAACGAATCTTGAAGTCCTCTTGTGTCTTTGTGAAAAGTGCACTAGCTCCGAGTGGTGCCTGGGTTTTGTTATTATTGGAAAACTTACGATTGTCAACTGCACTTGCCCTGGCCCCTTCACTCGATTCTCTCGCTTCGATTTCAGTTTTAACAGCCTCGAGAAGTTCATCTATTTTCCATATTTCACTACTGTTCTTACGAGCGATTTGCAATCTTACGTCACTAGGAAGTTTAGACATAACAATAGGAATTAATAAGCTTCCATATTGCTCAGATTGTACCCCAAGTGAAGCCAAACCTCGCACGTTTACACTGATTTTATCGTATACATATCGTAGTGATGAAAGTCGACCATCTGTGCTCGCTTGAATTTTTAACATTTCGTCAACATGAGCTGAAATGATAATTTGTGGCTTGCCAAAACGTTCCTTTAACAATTCGATAGCTGAGGTGTAGTTTGAACTTGAAAGTGTTAATCCTTGAATGGCCCTTGCAGCCGTACCCTCGAGATGAGCATTTAAATAGTTAAATTTATCGATTGCGGGTATACTTTCGTTCGAATGAATCGCGCTATTAAATGAGTCCCAAAAAGTTGTCCATTTCGTAACATCGCCCTTGAATTTCGGTAAAGTTAACTTTGGCAAACGCGGTTTAACGACATTATCTTGAGCTGAATTCGTTCGAACATAAACGGGAGATTGTTGTACATTGCTAACGACTTGTTTTGAGTCTTTAATTTTCTTTCGACACGCTATAATTCTCGCTACAATCGCTTCTGAATCTTCGATTTCTTTGCTAATTTCGTTTAATTTACACAGAGAAGTAATTTCGTTATCGAGATCGTTTAAAGTCTTTTGTTTACCTTCCAATAAACAGCCAATAACTTCGAGTCTACTTGTCGCTTCGTCGGATAATTCTTGTGATAACAAATCGTATGTTTCCTTTTCGAGTTTCTGGCAAACTTCTCGATGAGCCGCCCTAATCGCTTTAAGTCGGTCGATTTTCGACATATTCTAAATCTCTACTTCGTGAGCTCGCCCCACGTTGGGCGCCATGTAGAAAACGGTGATTATTTTCGCTTTATTCGTCGTAAAAGGGTTTAAAAACACGCTCGAAATACTACATATTTTTTCCTTTATTTTATGTTCCAAAAAATATATATCTCGTCAACAAAACAAGAAAAACCGGTTTTATCTAATTATGTAAAATTACTGTAACGTAAACAAGTCTGCGATCACGTGAATGTCACGATTGTTACATACTCTGTGCTGACTTGCTGTATCCCCCCCCCCAGATAGCGTATAGCAAATTTTAACCCTGGCGTAAACTTCCGGTACCGGATGTTGCATTGTCTGCCACCGGAACTGCCAGATGTTACAAGTCTCTCTTTCCTTCTCTCCCCCTCAGCGGTACGTCATGTAACGTACAATATAAGAGAGACTTGGAGCAAGTCTAGCAACCACCTGGAGAAAATAGGGTTGCACGGTCAATCGCGTTGAAAAAATAATAGGGTCGGCAGAATAAAATAGGGTCGGTCGGGAACCGGAACCACAGGTATTTTTTTTTACGCCTAATTACTTCTGATATCAGTGTTCAGTGGGTCCCTATGTTTCCTATTTGCTAATTTCCTAACAGCGTGTCTTTTAAGTCAGCATTCTTTATCAAACCATTTTTTATTAGTAGTGTTTCTAATTTTACAGCGTTTTTTTTGTTTTCTTTATCTTTAGAGAGTTCTTTCCAGCTTCTTGTATAATGTTTTGGAATGTATTTAGACACGTATTAATTAATGCCCTCGCTATTTGAAGGAAAATCACTGTTTAGAAAACTTTGAAGTTTTGTTTGAATTTGTGGGGATTTAAGACTTTCAATATAGGCTCTATCAGATGTATTTTCCCATATGAATTGAGGTGGGAGTTTATGAGAGTAATTACTATGAGGAGTATCAGATGAGTTTCTGTCAATTGCTTTTTGACATTTATCCAAGTTATAATTTGACTGTGATCGGAGAGATATGTAATTTGGAGGTTTCACAGTAAAATAGTTAATATTTTCGAGTAAGTTAGTATTACCATGGATTGTAAAATAACTGGATACTAGGAAACTTCTGACGTCATTGGCCGCAACCTTGTTGAAAAACGTGACGTCACGCGTATTGCGAATATTACCAAAGTTCTCGGCATTTTTGTTGTTTTGCTATATTTTCCACTTTAAAAGGGTGATATTGAAGCAATATTAAACTGGTCTAATTGTCCTAAAAACATGCCTAAGCCACGACAAAGTATTCAAGGTAAATGTTTTTCGTCTTTGTTTTGTATTTTTTTACATTTGTAGCTACGAAATTGGTAGCATTTGTAGCGTCACAAATTTTAACGAAATTTGTGATGTATTTTTTACTGTTTAGTGTTTGAAATATTTGCTAAAATTGTCTGGGAATACTTAGGGTTTTCATCGTAGAATGGCGTGGTTATATTTATTTGCTCTTTCACTAAATTGTTTAGCTGTATTATTGCTAAACATGCCGTTTTTGAGAATTTGGTTTTCAACTAGGTTGAGGCATCCAACCATGCCATCAGCCGAGTGAAAACATTAGGTCACGTCAGCTAGTTTCCTATCCATTTATTTTATTATCCATGGTATTACATACAGCATAATCTATTGTACTAAAACCGTTATTTTTACGGAAGGTAGGTTTTCCAAAAGAGTCGCCTTTGGTCCTACCATTCAAAATTCGGAAATCATGGTTTTTGCAAAATTCTATCAAACATTTACCATGATTATTAATGGTGTTGTCAAAGTTCTCTCTACTAGTTTGTCTGTTAGATTCGGAAATAAAATCATGTATGAGTTGGCTACTTTCATTTGAAACATAATCTTTAAGTTTACCCGTTCTGGCGTTAAAATCTCCAATTAACATTACATCTCCTTTTGCAGCGAATGCGCTGGTTTCATCTTCTAGTATATCAAATATTTCATTTTCAAAATACACTGAATTTTCAGGTGGTATATTAGGCGAAGCCAGCGGTCATGCAGGTCATGCAGTGCATGACTAAAAATTTCCCCCAAAATGTTTAAAAATCAGTTCAGTATAATTGTTTACAATAGAATTATACTTTATCTTTGCACTTCTACGCCTAAGTATTTTATTTATTTTTTTGTTTACCCAAATCAATGGTCTTTAGGCGATATTCTTGCTAAATATTCTCGTATGTTATTGATTTTGGCTTTGTTACCTTGGCAACTGAGCGGTCCTGCATATTTTCACATGCATGACCGGTTGCGTAAGCGCGTGGAAAAAGATTGCGTGTGATTGCTGCGTGGTTTGCTCGCTGTGTGTTTTGGTCATGCACTTTCAAAATTTCATGACTAGCTGTATTATTTTATATTGGTTTGTTGGTTTCTGATTGGCTTACGACGTTCGCGCACGCGCAATACGGCTGTTTTTGACGCCTTGGTCATGCAATTTTCGATTTGCATGACTAAACGGGCAATACAACCTGATCACAGCCTCTTAGCTCGAAGCTTTCAGCCTGAATGAACACGTCTTCAGGTCATTCAAGCATGTCGACTTCTTCTTTACTCGAAGCTAACGATATTGTTTGGGAATTGGTGAAGAAACCATTTTCTGCTGAGCAGAATATTATTGTTTATAAGCAGAGACAAACGCCAGATCTTTCGACATGCCCGATCGGGAAGGTCTTCAAATGTCGTGGTATTCAAAGAAAGAATGGCTTAGCCAGTCAGGCTTAGGCTAAATAAGCTATTGCCTATTGGTATTTAGTTATTGTTACATGTATTTTGTCTTGAATATTTAAGCCTTCAACCCGAGCATAGGCGTATAAAGCATCGAACGCTATATATTATATGAAATACAATGTCAATGTCGAGGTCAATGTAGTAAACAATGTAGTTCTATAAATAGCGCTGCAAAGCTTATACATTTCAACACGCAACACAAACATTTTAGCGATTGTGAGTTAGCAACATATTTGATATATACTTGTTTGTGAAACAAACAAAGAAATTTCAATATATATTGTTAAATTGTATTTACCATTTGGTACATACTCCCCGTGCGTTCGAAAATATCCAATATTGGCAATAGCCAATAATCGATATGAATGCAGAATTCGGCTATAAAACTGACAGTAAAACTTCTACGTCTTCTACTCAAACATCTGATAATGCTTAATTCATTTCTGTATGTAATATTGTAATAATTGGGCGATTGATTTTAAATTAAGGAAATTGATCAAGGCTCATGCGTTATATTTTCCAAGTCCTGCATATTATACCTATATTCTAGATTATACTGACTGTATTAGCAGCTATTTGTCATTATGTTCCGTTAGTATATGTGGATAAAATTGTATCTAGTCCTGGAAATGTGAAAACTCTTCAGACTTCACGTTGGAATACTACAAGGGGATAGCAATTAGGTAGTCTATACAGACTATTACGAAAGTCACCGAACTGTGGAATCGCATCAAAAATTCGTATATCGACCACTCCCACAAACGTCTACGACCACGCCTACATTCGACTACATAGTTTTGCATGTTTACAATTCTAATTTTGAACAGCCAATCAGGTTCTTGGTAATTGGCTGTTTAAAATTAGAATTGTAAACGTGCAAAACTATGTAGGCGCGGTCGTAGACGTTTGTGGGAGTGGTCGATATACGAATTTTTGATGCGATTCCACAGTTCGGTGACTTTCGTAATATGATAATACAGAACATGCATGTAATATTTTCCGACCGAAAAGAAATGCACAATTGCCGGTATGACTATAATTAGCGGAACTGCAGACCACAGACTTCCTATTTTTGTGTCGATCTTCATTTATTTATTGTTGTCTGAAATATGCCAAAATATCCACATATTTTCCCGTCATTAGATCAAGCTATTTTCTAAAATTTGATGCTCAGATTGCTGCAAATGGCGTTTCTGGGGTATATATTTCAAAAAATTTCCGGGGGGGGGGCATGCCCCCGGACACCCCTAGGATGTCTCATGCCTTCGGCGCTCGTATGCATGACCACTCACACGACGCTGGCTTCGCCACTGGGTATATAGACCCCACATAAGTAAAGATCATTATTTGAATTTAGTAATTCCTTAGAAATCTTGCACCAGAGTGCATTTTTTGATTTCTTGACAATTGAGACATAACTTTGAAATTGATTTTTAAGTAACAATGTGATGCCACCGGAAAGGCGACCACAATGGCTTGATTTTTCTGCTATATTTGCTGACAGTGCTCTGAAGCCAGGAATACAAATAGAAGTGTTAGACCAAGTTTCAGTTAGAAATATAAAATCATTATTCCTTATATGGTTTAAGAAATCATCATTCTTTGATTTATCTCCAAGGACACTGCTGGAGAAACATTATGTGCTGACAGCATGGCTACTGCCTACTGCCAGAAACACAGTCTGCTAAACTGCATGCTACTGCCCACATCACTGTTATATTTTTTAAGTCTACAATATCAGATTTTCAAAATTACATCTTCGAAATCCGCACCATACAATTTTCAAATAAAATGTGTAAGTATTATCAATTCATCCACACCATGCGATACAAACCAAGATCTCAGTTATATACAGGACTTTTATACAGGTATGATCATATTTTATATAAAATTAGTATATATCAGAATAATATATATTTTACCTCTATAAGCAACGGATATCCATTTTTTACACCTTTAATGTTAGACATGAGCATATTGTGTGTAAGAAGACGCATTTTCATAGAAAGATCGAGAGATGGAAACTTGTCTTTCTCAAAATATCTCAATCTCAATGTGCACGTGAGCCCAAATGTTCATTCCAGCGGTAGTTATTTGAGTGAAAAAAGAGACATTGGGAGGACTGGGATTTGGATTCCGTGTTCAAGGATTCCTTTGTCCCAGCTCGTTGCCAACAAATATTTCACCATTTTTGAGGGGAGCCTAGTTTGCATGCCTTGTTGCCCCATGATTTTTTCGAAAACCCCAGGAGACCTCCACTGCACTAGGGTAGTGAGAGCTGGAGTGAACATTGAAATGGAGAATATAACTGGAACGCTACCGAGCAAGAGTTTCGCAGTGCCGATTACACGAAGACCCACACGAGAAGACCCCCACGAGAAGACCCCCACGAGAAGACCCCCACGAGAAAACCCCTGAGCCCGCGTTGTGCTAATAGAGCCTGGTCTCAGGTTAGCGTTGTAAGGAGAGGTAGGCGTAGCGTTCCAGTTATATTCATTTCAATGGAGTGAACGCAAATTGGTTATTAACTGTGCATCTAACCCCCCCCTGTCGAGGACCTCGGCTTTTGGGAATTTTTACCACTCTTGAATACAAAAAAATCTGTGTAATATCGCTTCCGGAAAGTACGTCACCATGGCTAGAGAGCCTCGTTTTCGTGATTGAGACGTGAACTTTAACTGATGTCACATACATGAAAACGAGGCTCTATAGCCAAAGTGACGTACTTTCCGGAAGGGTGTATTGACCCCTCTGGAAGAGACTTGAACCCCCTCTGGAAGTGCATTTTTGCGTTATACGCAGTCGCGAAATAAACTAGTCCCCTATTAAGTCCTAACCCAATCCCTAACCTGATTCTCGATGTTTCCTCAAATGTTTCCCTGTTTGCCCACCTGTGGAAACATTGTTGCGGAAACAAAATTTGCTTCCCAAGAAGAAAAAATGTTTCCTAGCGAATTCAGAAACATTTGATGTTTCCCTATGTTTCTCACTAATGTTTCCTAGTGTTTGCCCACTCTTGGAAACATGGCGAAACATTGGTAGGAAACAATGCCCAGGGCTTAACCCATTTTTTCTTTAAATTACCCGTCTGGAAAAAAATGCCTAATTGCCCCCCTTGGAAATTGAGCTCCTCAACACCGGGCACACGACCAGGGACGCCGGAACGATAAAAAGGCAAAGGGGGGCAAACGCACACCAAAGGGCACCTCTATAGATCCCGGTGAAGATATAAACATACAATAATGTGTTGACTTGCCAATGAAAGTAAACGCACTTAATCAGCTCACATTCAAGATCACACCTCGTGATTTTGCCAAAAAGCATCACTGGAAATGTGATTTATAAGGTAGTATTTTACAACTCAAAGGGCATTTCTGCCCCCCTTGCCCCTCCTAGCAAAAGGCAAGAGGGGAAGCTGCCCCTCCTGCCACCCAGTTCTGGCGTCCCTGCACACGACGTTGTTTCAACGTTGAAATTTGGTTGAAAAAAGGTCGCGACGTCGACAACCTAAAATATCTACGTTGCTCTGACGTTGTTTTACGAACGTTGGTTCACCAGCAGCAAACCGACGTCGAATCAACGTTTGTTGATGGTTGGATTCAACGTTGATTCAACGTTGAATTATAGTTGACGAGATTGGCAACCTAATCTCAACGTTGTTTCAACGTCAAAAGAGTAACGTCAATATGCAGTGCCTGGTTTGCACCAGTGGCTTATTCATGCTTTAATATTCTATACTGCAGTGAAACTCATTTCTAGAATTAGGCGGGTTTCAGACGTCGAACTTTTCATGTGCCGAATGCATTAAAAACAATAGATAATCATTTGAACTACCTATATGAAAAGTTCGAACTATGAGTATGAAAAGTTCAACGTCTGAAACGCAGGGATGCCGGAACCACGGGTGCAGCGGGTGCAAGTGCACCCCTTGCCTTTTGCATTTTCAACTTTGTGGGTGCAGTGCGGGTGCAGAATACGGGTGCAACGGGTGCACAAACTGCCCTTTTTTTGCGTGAAAAATTTTCATTAAAATTGCATTTTTTGCGCAAAGGGCATTTTTGAAAAATTAAATATTTGTTATTTCCGGAAAATTTTTTTTACCCCTAAAATGGTACATGCACTGACCGAAAATTTCTTGGCAATGGGGGGGAGGTTGCCAAAAAAAATTTTTTAGATACCCGTTCATTTTCATTAGTGCCCTTTTGTTAAGGAATATGCCCTCTTGTTAACAGCAACTTCCGGCATCCCTGCTGAAACGGGTCTAACAGTAGGTCTGTTTTCAGCACAGAATAGATATTTTGTGGTTTTCAGGCTAGCCTAACAATATAATCATAATCACCATCACGTTTATTCTGATCCTTAATTATGTGTCACGTACAGACTCACGTATGTATTGTTCGAGTCACGGATTGTCACGGATAGGTAACTTTCTTATTGCTATTGGTTAGTTGGGCAAAAACACAATACACACGTGATGGTGAAGTCTATTATTTTGCAGCCAATGCAGCCATCCTCATTCGATAGGCCATGGTCATACATTGACAGTGGTTCAACTCAGAGGTTCAGCTCATAGCTTCGCCCAGGCAACGCCCACATCGCAAGAGACCAATCAAACAGTTTAATACTAGCAAGATAAGCAATATTCTGTGAGTATTTTGTTAAAAGATGATAAAAAAGATAGATATACACTGCCATATACTGCCGAAAGAGTGGCCTGATTTGAAGAAGGTTAGTTGAAACGATTTTAGTATCTAGTTTGACCGAGAGTTTAACTCTTTGATGTCTCATTTTACGTGCAAACACCATATTATGTATGTCACGTATTAATAAATATCCAGTAAGATTGGTATTCATGGTCGTAAAGTTTTAAATTTATAATATACGGTATATTGGTTGTTGCCAAACTCAACAAAACATGTTTAATGATATTATTATAGATTTATAAAGTGTTTACATGGCAGCCTCACAGTAGCTAGGAACAAGGCATATTTGCAATGGGAAACAGGAACAAGGCATATTTGCAATGGGAAACACAGGAACAAAGTCAAAAATCATAGGCAACAAGGGAAGATGTAAAAGTGAACAAGAGACCATGCTTAAATCTTTGTGGGGACAAAGTGAAACAGTAACACAGACCCCCCCTGGGTGACTCTCCATGCTGGGTACTTGGTCATGCTTAGTATATGTGTCTAGGATATATATATATATATATATATATATATATATATATATATATATATATATATATATATATATATATATATAT